CTAGTTTACATTTAAATTTTAGAAACGTTATGCAAATTAAAGATAATAATATAAAATAAGCTATTTGAATTTAAAAATAAACAATTTTATCAATGTAAGTCGATAAAAATAAGAAATAGAACATAATATCAAATTACCATAATTTGATATTATAATTCAAAAAGTACGAAAATCTTTGAAAATATTATAATTTCAATTAAATATATGTGTGCATTTCAATCCCCTAAGGTTATTCCCTTTTGAATAACAAAAAAATAACCAAATAGATTTTCCCGTTTGACTATTTTTCGTTAGTTTTTCTTAATTATTAAAGAAATTAGTACCCCAAAATACATAGGTACTATGTTCTACCACAAATTGTTTGCACTATTGCACTGAATCAAATATAAAGACACAAAAAAAAAAGAATTACTAAAACCAATACATTTCTCAACAACCAATGATAGTTTCGTTTAAAGTCTTAAAATCTATCCGTATTTGTACTTTGTAGTTTCCTTAGAACTTAAGTACCTAACGAGGTTTTTATAGAAATATATTTCTAAGTTTAATATAGTGATTGTTTGATAGAATATATACGACAGTATTACACATATATTATGTATATTAATATATTATACTATATTTAAAAAGTACCAATATATTTTAATATATGTACGACAGTTATATAGTAAATTTATAAATTACAAATAAATCTTGAAATTCTGATCAAAGAGAGATTTGTTTTGGTCACTAACCCCAAGTACCTATAAATGTTCTGTATATACATATACTAATAGACGTAATAGACGTATATTTAGTGTACGCTACCAAAAATTTATTTAAAATCTGCAGAATATATAAGACATAGGTACTTATATAAAATATGAAGAAATATAATATTTTAAAATTTAAAGTAGTGTAATGATTCATCATTTATCTTTTCTTACTTCGAATTTCAAATATATGAACTTTTTATTCAAATAATAATATAATACCTATAGTAGAATTTTTAAATAATTTAAATAGGTATACCTAATAGATTCCATTTAATAGCGTTATTATGAACACCACTAGGAGTTTGGACTACAATTATTATAAAAGTATAATAAAATAATTTACAAATATGTATTTTAATGGTTTCACTGATAACAATAAATATAAATACTTAACAATTAATAATATTTACTATAGTAAATATAATAATATATACTATGCTCGATGCGTCATATTATGATGGATAAGACTAATAAATTAGTATGTATAGTGTATACCATTAATAAATAATGATTAAGTTCCTTGCATTTATAATAATTACATGTAACTGATTTTATTAAATTTTATTTTAGGTTACAGAACCATTTCTTAACAATGTATTACCTATGAACTTAATTTGTATTGGATCTTAAGGTATAATAATATGTGCTTGTAATGATTTTGAGAGAGCGGACAATAATTTCATAATTTAGTCATAGTATAATAATGACCATTAGTAAAAATTACTCATTATACCTAAAGTTTTTGATTTTAAGTTACTCTGATTGAAACGAAGGAATTGTAGTTAATCGGTTAGACTGGTAAAAGAAATCCATAGATTTTTTTACAGGTATTCCAAAATTTGCACATGTTTAAGGGGTTGTGTGTAGGCAATTTAGCTTATACTTGTGGTAATCAGATTATCAATCACTCGATTTGAAGGGGTTTAACTAGACAATTTGTTTGGTTTTTTTCATACATTTTTACATATTATTTTATATTACAACAATTTAAACTACAAAAATAAATTATTGTTACTTTTGTAAAAAACATGCAACCATGCAAGGTAATTGTGCTTATTGTTTAGCCCAACCATAGATCCCTTATAATAACGACCTAGCTATAATGCTATAATAGTAGTTTGATATCTTCATAGAGATTTGGTTATCAGTGGAGTTTTACATTGTTACATTAATACATTAATTATGTTTTTGGGTAACAATTTGGTTACAATAATAGGGGGGAGCTTTATATATGACTATATATTACATAAATTGATAAATATATTTCTCTATTTCGATGGTACCGAGGAATGACATAATATTATATTTTAACTACTAGATATCATATATAAAAAACGGGTGAAATGGTGTGAATAAAAATTCCAATTTTCCTTAATTTTTTTTTGTTTTTCCTGGGGCTTTTGAAAACTACTGGGAATTTTAAATTTTTACTTCCTGAATGCACCAACTATAAATTTACTTGCCAATTGAACAAGATACTGTTGAAGAAAATCATAGCATTTTTACGGTCCCAAAAAGTGTTAACAGACACAAAAATAAAAACATAAATAATAAACACACATCAATCAACAAAATTAAAATACAAAAATAATTGATGAAGTATAAATAATGTATTTTGTAACTTTAATATACCTACTACCTATAAAGATAAAAAAAAACGAGTGTATAAAATACATTCGTTTGTATAAGTGAATTTAAAAACAAAAATATTAAATTATTGTAATTGTAAAAGTACCTACATTCTAGAATTTTATTAAGTAACAACTAAATTCATTTTGTTACCAGAAAATATATTGAAGTTGAAGATTGACGCAGTTTTACTTCTTTAAAAGGAGATGACAACAAAAAAAAAAAAAAAAACATGACTGTGATGTTAAAACATTCATCACCATGCTAAGAATCAAAAATACAAATTTATACCTATAATTATATACTTAAATACATAACGTCATAACATAAGGTTTACCACATAGCATTTACCAGCCAGTCTTGCATAATAAAAAAAATGTACATTATCAAAACCAGTCAGTAGTCAGCCTTGATTAACTCTGCTGCACAGTGGGTTACAAGTTATTATATTATTATAGTTGTAAGTTATAAGTTATAAACCAGTTGTATATTGTTTGCTCTTCATTTTATTCTTATACACATAAGATTTTAGTACCTAGGTTCTCTACTTCAAGAATGACGGACTAAAATAATTGTAATTATTAAAAATATAAAATAAAAGAATAACTGTTATTTTAACTATTTTTTTTTTACTGTTAGTTTTCTTTTTTTAGACAGTACATATTCGTTTCTCCGCTAGTCTGGTACAGGCAATTTCAATTAAACCTTAAAATAAAATTGTTTTACTATTATATTATTACTGAGAACAAACATACAGCGATAAAGGCTATACAGACATACAGCAGTTGTATTATTGTTCTATGCAGATTGTGGCATTTTGCCCGACAACCGCATGGTACCGTAGTCTGTAATACCTATACTGAATAAAAGCCAAAAGTTTCATCATATTGTTCTCCACAGTCCCCAAATGTCTCCTAAGAAGTCGTCAATCGTAATTCACAGGTGTTGAATAATAAAACATTATTCTCAATTTCCAGTTTCCTCCTTTAAAAAAATTAGTTTTAGATACTTAATGAACTTGTTGCGTGGTATCACCGCATGAGGTCGCTCATCTGTTTGCGGACGTACCTTAGGTCTTGTACCATAGAACTTGTACCGTGTTAAAGTTGGCTCAGGGGGGGAGAACACTCAAACACGTCGATGCCAACTCGTCTGACTCGTGTCTCGGATGTATTAGGTATTTAGGAATGATCAAGGTAGATATACTTATCCACCTTGGGAAAGATAATAATATCATAGTATAAGAAATATTCGCGATTGAAAGCGGAACAGGCGCTACCTTGTGGAAGTCATCAGAACTATTAAAACGGGGAAGATGTGTATAGTACAGTACTGGTCTACAGTACCACACACGAAATACGAATTAATAAATAATTTATTGTAATATTATATGAATATTATATTATTAGTTGTATGATGTATGATCATAATTATCACCTTAATAGTAGTCCAAAAATACTAATTAATAATACCCATAAGGCTTGTTCTATTCCACAGTGTTAACCACAGTTCCACAGGTAGGAAATTAATACAATTAATTACATTTATTTTGTTGTAATTAAAAAAAAAAAAAAACACCAAAAACTGTATATACATAAAAATTTAACTGAATGTTTATATTTTCATTTTCTATACACTGTATATTTTTTTATTTTTAAAACTTTTTTATTAAGAGTTGTACAAAGGAAGTTAGCTACTCTAGTCACAATTAAATTATGGAGTACACAAATCGCCTGAGTTATTTTTGCAGTTTTTTCAGTTCTGTTTAGCATTTTATTTTCTAATACGTTAAACCTTTTTACCATAATTCCAAATGCACATGCGACTATTTTTCTCACACGGGATTGTCGATAGTTGTATATACCATAAACGTTATTCGTTTGTTAAATTTCTACGAGGGAAATGTCTCATCAAAGTAGGTAAAAGTAGGTAAGCCTCATCGTCAACAAATACAAAAGGGAAATCTTCATTAATATTTTGATCAATTTTTTTTGGGTGCTGGGCGCTGGCAAATCTAATTTATTTTGAATTAATTGTCTACCAAATAAGGATTCTTTGAAAATCTCATTATCACTAGACCGACCATAATCTCCAACTTCTATTACAATAAACTTAGCGTGAGCGTCAACTACTGCTTGCAGTAGAAACTAGAAAGTAGACAAAGTAAACTAAGTAGAAACTAGAAAGTAGTAAGTAGACTAAACAGCACGGGCCTCGGCCACCGGGCGACCATGTTCCCCGTTAGCCTTATCTTTAGTATCGACTAGTGCGCTACCTATATTTCCTTTCAATCGCGAATACTATGGATAATATTTTTATGAATTTTGATTTTCCACTGAAATGTACTCAGTGATAGTAGCGTAGCGATAATCGTTTAGTTCGGCACTACTCTTAATTCCTTATTTGCTCTACGCTCCACGCTCGTAGTTTTGTACAGTTGTCAATTTTTGTCCGTGTACGTTGTAATGGCGAATTACTCGACACTGCGTTGATCTCATTTGTAACGTGGTTATCAAATTTGACTAGTTTTAAAATCTACTTAATTACTACCTATTCTTGTTATTTTTTATTTTAAAAAAATTGTTATTTTCTTAAAACATAAGGTCGTGTTATATAATGGCGGTGACCAAAGGAAAAACGAACAAAAAACCTAGTCTGGTGGTAAATGCGTATTTGTTCTCATACAATTTCATTCAAATTTTGGGGTAATATATTACCGTTATTCAAATATTTTTCCTGTTTGAGCAACAGAATGCTATAGTTTAATTGTTTTTACTTTTTTTTTCAGATGGAGTTATTTGCTATTTCAAATCATTAATTTCTATGTGAGCCCACCCAAATCTCAATCATTGTGGGACGTTGTAAAGTATACAGTTGGAATTTTCCAAAATGCTGCATTCATTGAGGTTGGTACAACATTTTTTAACTTAAATGAAAAATAAATTGTAATTTTAGTTTGTTAAGAAAAATAATGAGGTAATTTTTATAAGAAGTTTTTTTTTGTTTTAAGATTTAAGTTGTATCCGTCCTACAAATGTACAACATAGCGATAACTGTTTTGCCTGGGAAATCACTCTGTATTAAGAGTAGAATTACCAAAATTCCTCAACACATAGGGAATAACTTTATCTGCGTTGTAGTGTTTTTGTTTTTTTGATAAATTTTTTATAATTAGATGAAAAAATCAAAAAAAAAACCTAATGTTCTCAAACTGATAACTATTATTGTATATATATAACAAAATAATACGACACAGATAAAGTTCTCCCTTATGCGTTGTGGAATTTTTCTAATTGTACTTTAAATACAGAGAGAGCATAGTTGTCCTGCGCAAAACAGTTTTTGCTATGTTGTACATTTGTATGACGGAGACAACGCATGCAGGTATAACGGCCTATTCATATCAATCAAATTGTAAATATTTAATTTATAAGAACTATTTAATGTATTTATACTTCAAATTGTGAATTCATGGGCCCCCACATAAACATGTTCAGTGGGGCCCATTATCTTCTTGAAGAATAAATAAAAATAAAAATAAATAAAATATAATATTATTTTTAAATTAATATACCTATTTTGCTTTTGCCTAGGTAAGAGTAGAAAAAAAAAATATTCTTAATTTGATTTATTATTACATTTAAAATGATCGAATACAAGTATTAGGTATTAATTTTAAGTTGTTAAATGTCTATTTTGCTGATGAAGTGATGAATAAATATTAATAAATGTGTTTTATGTGATTAATAAAAGTGTAAAATTGTCTGATATTAAGTGAGCTACATTGGGTTTGTAAGTTATTATTCATAATATTCACAATTATAGGTCACATACAAGGTCAACAGTTCCTTGTTGGTCTATAACAAGTTTTAATTTTCATATACTATATCATTTATACATAGGTAGATACTCTGCTGATATTGCATGTAAGATGTAAAAAACTATTTAACAACAGGTTTTTGTTGTTTTATTTAGTAGTATTCAAGCCCAATATTATTTTAAGAAATATATTTTAATATTTAATTTTATTCATCATAATTCACTGATATTATTGGAGATAGAAATACTCTCACTAGCAATAGTATAAATGTACAATATATTATGGCGCAGTCCTTCATCTAGTGGTTTTGTTTTATTTTTAGGTATCCATATGTATATAATAGGTATATAATTTTTCTTAAGTAACACTTACTATTAAATATTTTACTCAAGAATATTGTAGTTCTGTAGTTCCTAAAAAGTAATTTATTGATCAACTTGAATACCTTTACTTGTAAGTAGTAAGTAGTAACTAACAAAATTAAATATTTTACTCTTGAGAAGTACCCCGATTAATCACACTTTTACTTACTAAATAGTAAATACTTGGTACCTATTTGATAATATTTTCAAAACTAATGTAAAACTCAGTAAAAGTTAAAATAAACTATCTATAGGTTTTCTTTAAGTTTTGTTTGTTTAATTGTATTTTAATTATTATTAATATAGATATTCAATGTAGCTACTGGTTTGGTGAAATCTAATTTGGCAGTTACTATTCAACAAGTTCTGTCACGTGTAGCCATTGTTGCTGCTATTGCATTTATACCAGAGACATCAGACTCACCAGGTTTACCATTGGCCTTAATTGCTTGGTGCTTTGCAGAAATTACCAGATACTCATACTATAGTTTCAATATTATTGGTTATATACCTTATCTAATCATTTGGGCAAGGTAGTATTTATTACGTTGGTCTTATTAATGGGTTTATTAAAGAATTGTACATTGATAATGTCATTTTTCAGGTATACTTTCTTCTATGTTCTGTATCCAGTTGGTGTTACTGGAGAGTTATTAGTATATTGGACGTCATTAGGATATGTTGGAAGAACCAAAATGTGGAGTATCGAACTGCCTAATAAATTAAATATTGCATTTAGTCTATGGTCTGCAATTGCAATGGTTATGCTGATTTATATACCATGTAAGTTTATTAATCTATAAACAATCTTCATTAAAATTTTATTTCCTATCCAAACAAATTAATCATAGTATATACAAATTGTCAAGGATGGCCAAGTAAAAATTTCAAGCCAGAAAATGTTGTTTGTCCAGGCTACATTTTCCCCCAATATCTTCAAGTTACCTTTTCTGACATTTTGAATGGGAAAGTGATTATGACAATAGGTCAGGTCACCAGGAATTATTCGATATCCCGGTGGGTTAATCTACATATTGTTTCCATATAAGAAGCAGTGGCGCCGAATCTGTACCTCTTGTAGGTTAAATATAATTTCCATAATTGATTATATTACCTTGTATTTCTGCAATAATTTTATTAAACACAGGAATTTTATTAAATTCTTCTTCTTATCAGCTTACCAGACCATTTCTGCCTTAAAGAGGTCTCGCCATCCATATCTGTTGTAAGTCAATACAAATGTCAGATTCTAGTCTAACTCTTGTCGTCTGGTTTTTACATCAATCCTCCAGGTTCTGGAGGTCTGTTTTGTTTATATTTCCAACAAGTACTTTTTTTAATAGTTGCCCATCTGGTCTCCAAGTGTGTCAGAACCACTAGATGTTTATTCCTAATAAACGCTAAGATATTTGGTCTGTTGTACAATTTCTGTAACTCCTCATTTCTTCTTCTTTCATATGTCTGTTACTTGGTTGAATTGTGGCCCATAGATGTTCAAGAATATTATTCTCTCAAATATCATTTACTTTCTCTCATCTTCTTTTGTCAAGGACCATGTCTCACATGCTTATGTTATTATTGGGCCCAAGTAGCTATGATAAAGTCATGTTTTTAATGTACATGAGAGTATACTCCTTTTCAAAAGAGAATAATCGCTTTCGCGCATTTCCAATGATTCAATCAGTGTGTCGAGAACCATATGATTACTCTAACAACGCGGTGCCAGATATAAATTGGACTGGTATATTCTCTTTTGAAAAGGAGTATATTTTTGATCATCACATAAATTGACTATGCATACAGAAATGAAACTACTAAAATCAAAACTATTTATATATAAATATAATATTATATTATAATAACACCTGTTTCCACTCGTAATTCTTTCATAAACATTTATATTATTCTTATTATTGACATTTTTACTCCTAAGTATTTAGAGTTATCCACTCCTTCAAATTTCATATTGCTAACAAAAAGATTGTTTGCTTTCTGATTGTTCCTCGACATCATCTTATACTTAGTTTTATTATAATTTATATAAAATCCCATTGACTTGATTGCTTTAAGTACTTTCTCAGTTGTTTATACATAATTATTAATTAGTTAAGCCCATTTCTCAGATGTTTGAAGGGGTAGGTCAATCGAACTATTTGAACTGCCATAGTTTTAGTTTTATTTGGCTCCAATGATAAAAAGACTAGTATTTAATAAACAAGCTTTAAAAAAAATGTATATTATGCTGATATCTAGTAATTTAAACATTTTTTTTTTTAGTCTTCCCTCAAATGTACATGCATATGGTATACCAAAGGAAGAAAACACTTGGAAGTCCAGAACCAAAAAAAATACAAAAAAAAGTTCAATGATTAATTATTTGTATATTATACAACTGGGTACTGGGTATTATGTTATTTTTTTGTAAATTGTTGCCGTGTCTTTGCCAATTTTTTTATAGACTGTTTTATTTATTATATAATATTATATAATTTAATTATTACAAATAATAAAACATTATTCATTGTTTAGGTGTGATAACATGTTAATTATTTTGTGTGTTCCTATAATATTTTCTTCTTTTTAAGATGAATATTAAATATAAAATTTTAATAATTACTTATTATATAATATACACGAGTTATATAATAATAACTGTAGACAATTGCATTACTTTCTTAAAATAATGCAACTGTAATGTAGTTCAACAAATAAAATAACTATAATGTTAAGTTATTTTCAAATTATGTTGGCTACATTAATTAATTAACAATGATACTAACATTTAGTACAAATCAAGGTGTATTGACACACCTTGGCACAAATGTTTAAAAGGAAGCTACACCCACATGTCTCTGTCTTACAAATTCATAACAGCAATTTGTACCATCTGAATAATCTATTTAACTATGGTGTGTTTAATATAAGAGTGAATTGACCTATTAGAAGTAAGAGTATTGTCAATTTTTTTTAGACTTGTAATTACGAGTACTGGATTCAAGACAATTACTAGTAATTTATTGAAAAATAAATGTTAAAACTATAAATAACAGAAAAACGCAAATATTTCCGATAAGAATACCAGGAAGGTGATACTTGATAGTCTAAATTTGGTTTAAGTTAGTAATTGTCATTGCAAAGTTTGTGTGAAAGAAAATTTAAAAATTTTTAGAAAATCTATTTCTAGTACAATTTAAAATACCTACTCGAGCAATACCTAGTACTCAACTTTTTTTTCGAATACTTGGCATTGTCGAGTACTCAAATATTTTTATCTACTATTTTTTTTTAACATTTGTCATTTTTTGAGTACATGTATTTAGAACTCGACTCAAAATTAAAAAAATAATACTAGGCCACTTAGATCTGTCTTTTTTTATCCTGTATAACTAATTATTGAACGTAAGTATTATATATTATTACTGATAATTATAATGTTTAAATTAATAAAGGTATACAATTTTTTTAGATACATTTTTATATTAAATATTTAATAATATTATGCACCTTTATTAAATATATAATAACAATTATTGGGGGACGAGGTGGCCGAGCGGTCTAACGCGTCGTCTGCGGCGCTGGCAGTCGCGGGTTCGACTCCCGGCCACTGGGCGGCATTTTTCTCCGGGCAAGTCACGGTGTCCGGAAAACAAGTGCCGCCATCCCCCACCCCGGGGCATGGCAGAAACCTACGGGTGCCCCATTCAAAATTCTGCCAAAATACACCCACGTGTAACACCCCCTACCGTTAAATAACCTACAGTACCAACCCCTCTCCCAATGGCCTAAGTTGCCGCGGGATAAAATTAATAAAAAAAAAAAAAAAAAAATAACAATTATTACGAATTAGTCGTCTAGCTATCTGTAATTAATATATCAAAAAAGCTTAAAATTTAGTTACAACAAAATCAAAGGAAAAATAAATTATAATTTATTACCTAAAATAGAAAGATAATTGTGATAAACATAGACAAACATTTTTTGTTATAAGTAGTCGTAAGCAATTTGTACTAAATACAAAAAAAAAAAAATTTTAAAATAGAAATTAATGTAGTAAATAAATGTTACCAATCTATTATTTGACTGAAAATATAAAAATTGTGACCTTTGTTCTTTAACACTAAAATGTAGGTTATCAAGATATTTATTTTCAGGCAAATTGGTACAATATAGTTTCAATGGAAATAAATAATAGTATACAGTTATAAATATATTATATAGTTTCTACTGTTGATTTACAAATTAAATGGCATAAAAAAAGAATAACATATCATTAAATAATCGTTTGGTACCTGTATGAATAATATAGAAAATATATTTAATTAATTATGTAGATTTGTTACCAGAATCTTGAGTCTCGTTGCGTAATTTTGTTGCTAAGACTTTTAACTCCTTGTTCCGCTTTATTAAATCATCAATTGATTTTTTATACTTCTTTTGGTGTGTTTGATCAATAGACCATCTTAAGTACATATCTCGCCATAATTCCTAAAAATTTGGTTTGATTGCACAATTACAATACAATTTTAATCTATATACTTATTGTAACAAAAGTAAACTATAAATTAAAAGAAGTAATTATGAAAAGTAATATTTTGCAAATTATGATCAACAATAATATGGCATTAAATGAAAATATACTTACTATACTAAATGGAGCAACAGAAGGCCAAATCACATTATTTGTAGGTAGGTATAGAGGATTAATAATTTCATCAATTTTTTGATCAAAGTGCGACCATAAATTTGGTTTTCCACATTGATTATTTTTCCGATCAGACTCACAATTACCATAAAATGTACTAAAATCTGAACAGTATGAATGATCAACTAGTGATGATAAAAAATTTGTTGAAAACTCAAAGCAGCATGGAAATTGATTGTGTATTTGCCATGTACAGTCTAGAAATAATAAAAAAGTGGCGCCTGATCCATGATGGAAAACTTTTGATGAAGATGACGAAGATACTTTTGAACGAGCTGCATTATAACAACCACTTTTATGGCGAGTTTCGAATGGGTGTCCAGCTTGAAGCCATTCTCTCTCAATTAGTGATTCAAATCTAAAAATGTTTATACAGTTCAAATAATTTATATTAAAATAATAATACAAATTCTTACCCTACAATTGTTCGACATTCTGGATTTAATATCAATTGAGTTAATGATATTAAAACCAATGTCGCATCTGTGCTCTCTGATCCATGTACCAATACTGAAGCTCGCTCTTTATTTAAACATTGTGCAACTAAACATGCGGCATTTAATGTATCTTTGACATGGGACAACCATTCACTACCATTTAATTTGTTAAGCCATCGCTCTATAGTACACGTTGTATCATTACAAGCTTCAACTATTTTTGACAAGCTGTCCAATAAAACATTATGGCGTTCAAGAGCTGAATTTACTCGTCTCCACTGAGGATAGTGAGCTTCCATTTCAAATCCACCTCCACGAGCTTTAGCATTTGTAGCATTAGCAACACTCCGGGTATCAATTATATACCCTCTTTTTCCAGGGCCAAGAACCGAGTTTATAACACGTTCATCTTGTTTACAACGTTTAGAACTTGAGCCAACTAAAGGCTGACTGCTTCTCATTAACACACTCTATAAATTATATAAACTTGTTTAGTTTTTTTAGACAATTAATATTAATATTATATTAAAAATATTTTTTTGTTGATGAAATTGTTTTTAGAGGTAGTCATTTGCTATGGAGGCATCAAAAAGTTATTTAAATAATCTGATGTTGTTAAATTGTTTTTCAACGGGCTAGCAATTGTGGGGTTTGAAAACTGGTTAAATAATTTGAAATAGTTCAGTTTTTTTCTGTATTATCTACTGACCATTAGCCATCAAGTATTTTAGGGGAGAGAACAAAGGTTAGAAAAATGTGGATAGAGATGATAGTTGTAGTTAGACTATGATTGGATTCTAAACTTTGTAAGTTATCTTTTTTAGGTGTACCAATAATAGGTTCAGATGGTATTTAGTGATTTTCTACATTGATCTAGCGCCATGTTTATTAGTTATTTATTACATACATATTCCATAATATGAATATGTAGATTTATAAGAAAAAACATAGTTGATTATTTGCTGAGGAAGAGGAATTCCATATAGCAGTTTGTATGAACTTTGCTAGGATGTTATTTATAGTACTTCCTTTATTTTCTGGCAATTTAAGTTGTATGCTAATATTAGTGTAATTTAAGAGTAGTTCAAAGATTTCACGGAGAATTTTTTCCAGTTGGTGTTTTTTTTTTTTATTAATAAGGGATTGTTATTATGGATTAGGGGTGAAGAATTAAGAGTAAGGAGTATAGCAAGAGAAGTAGTAAAAACACCACTATAAACTAGAAGAAATTGTTTGTGAAATCCATGAACTACTCTTAAATTAGAGTTATATTATCTGAAATTTCCAGAAAAGAAGATAATGCATTGAAGTTTTTGATATAAAATATATAGCACAAAGAACTTACGCCTTTTTCATGACGATAGCTCAAAACTGGAAATCTACCATTTTGCCTAAACTTAGCAGAAGCAATCAACATGGTATCATCAACATTAGATGGAACAACAGTCAATTCTGGGTAGGTACTACAAACCTAAAAAATCATAAATTTGTATTTAAAAATGTATTACTTAGTTATGAGTAAGGATAGGTTTTAAATGCAGTACATGAATTTAATTATTAAAAATATTTTAAATTCTACATTAAATAGTTTTTATATATAGATATATATAGGTTGTAACAGAAAGATATGACAAAATCGATTTTGGTTTTTGGTTAAACTCTAAAACAAATGAACGTATATACATGAAATTTTCACTGTTAGTTTACATTTGCATTTTCTATTCACGATACAATTTTCAAAACATTTTGATTTGTTTTGAACTGTTTAGGAACATTTCCAGTATATGTATATGTCATATCTTTCTGTTACACCCTGTATTTGATGGTAAGAAACACAATTAAGTACCTATTTTACCATCAGTTTTGAAATTGCTTATATAAATGTTGCACTAAAATGTCATGTGCAAAATATAAAATTCTGTAATTAAGTGACAAATCCTCGTCATACCAATTTTTAGTAATGAATCCATGAACAACCACAGTCCACCAGCTTATTAAGATAAAATCTTACCTTTTACTCATATTACATGACCGTGCCAGTTAATAAACACTATTTTTATGATAAATAAAACAATAATAAATTATAAAAAAAAAAAACAAATTAAATAACATACCCTATAAGATTTATTGACTTGAGATATTCTCCACATTGAATCACCAGCAACTAGTTTTTCACATTGAGATTGCACATCAAACGGTGAACGATATTCATTACTTTTATTTGAAAACATATGGTGTAGGTAATCTGCTTCATCTAACAATCGCACAAAATGTTTTTTAAAAAAAATACCAATTTTATAATGTTGCAAGATCATATTTTGTTATTTTATCAACCTGTCATTATGAGTGATTCAATAGAAGCAGCAACTGAGGTAGCTTGTTCAATGTACGGCATATCAAAAACAATAATTCTAAAGTCCTTACACTTTAAAGTAATTGTATTTAGTTTTTTCTCTACAATGTCAATATTCCGGTTTAAAATCTAAAAATAATAGGTACTTTTAAATATTAGAATAAATAGTGTAATTTTTTCAACAATACACTAGTTGTCATTAAATCAGAAATAGTTATTTACTTATTATAATATTATGTTATTTTGTTTTGAATAATAATTATAAAAATTTGTTGCCACTCACTTAATGTAAAGTAAATAATTATAACTTATACAACTATAAGAACTGAAAATGTAAGATTAGGAAATATTGGATAATATACATTTTATAACATACCTACTTATTTTTACTATTTGAAATTAAAGTATTGAACCAACTTTGATTATTTACCCATAGTTCAACGTCCTCAGATCTTGATGAAAATATTAAATGATGACCAGTAATGACTAGTGTCCCAGTACTAGTGTTGGATATGTGTGGACCTCTCATAGTCACGCCGTTCAACTTCGGTATTCTAATTTTGTCAGCAAACTCCATTTTAAGATCATTTCCTGATGATCAAACAAAGATATCAAAAAACCGTATTAACCAAATAACAATAAATTGTTGAATGACTTCTTTTTTTTTTTTTTGTTTTTTAGGATTATTATGATTGTTATTGTTACCTGCTTTCCGTAATGCTATCTGAGGCAGACTTTCATTGTAAATGATCACATAAAAGCCATTAAAACTATTGGTGTAGGTGGGTAACGTTAAGATTTTTTGTTCTAATGCATACTGTTCGAAATTCTACAAGCTCTACAAGTGTTTTTAATGATTTGATTTCGCCCTTTTTTCCACAGGCACAGGCATACCGCATAACTGTTATCATCGATATCGAACATTCAATCAGTTTTATCACCAGACATTGGCGATATCAGCCATAGATAATAAAGAACGTCTATTATCTATGATATCAGCAACCAGGGTCTGGTTACCGGGCACTGTATTTTTGATTCCTCAACTGGACGGTCTGACGGCTAAACATTGACTGTCAGTCACTCAGTCCCCAGTGAATGATGTCCTTATAGAAATATTTGTACTTAAAACTTCAAGTTTCAATTCAGTTTAGTTGTTTAGTATTTAAGTGAATTAATTTATAATATGATCACTAGAGCGAGGATTTATATGCATTAAAAAAAAACCAAATATGTGCTAAAAAATTCCTAAATATGCATAAATATATGCACTCAAATGTTAAAATATGTAAGAAAAATAAAAAATGTGCATAAAAAAAATTATGGAACCCAACTATCAATACTTATCTACTTTTCTTAATTTTTTCTTGTTTTTGTAGGTAGTTTTAATCTATAAAAAAAAAATAGAAATCAATCTACCTATATCAAAAATGTATCCCAAGATAAATTTACTTACCTAAATGTGAATTGCATTGTATGAAAATCATTTTAGCTATATTTTCAAAAACCATTGATCGGCGTTTGTCAGTCAACAAATTTTTATAACTTGAAAATTTTATAAATTATATAAATTGATATTTTCTTATCTAAGTACCTATACGTATTTTATTTCGCCGATTATTGATCTAAGGTCATATTTGGGAAAACCGTTTATACCTACAAGTATACCTATTAATTTATTTTGCTATTAATTTAAATTATAAAAATATAATATTTTTTTTCTTATATTTTAATACTATATATTTCAAAAATGTCTAAAAAAACAAAAAAGCATCGAAATATGCACTAAAAGAAGAATTAATAAGCTATTCAAATTGTAAAATAAGCCCTTATTAAGATAGAAAAATGTCAAAATATGCAAATATATGGGCTAAAAAAGTTTCATTTTTAAATTCTTATGTCATGTAACAGATTTTGTGCTCACTTAGCATAATATCATACGATCAACCAGAATAAATATGCAAATGCATACAACTCCGCGCTCTAATGATCACTTTTAAGTTCATTTAATTGAACCGATTCTCTGAATGAATCTAATTATTCCAAAATTAGGTAGGTACATTATTTTATATATCTTTGTTATCTTCGAGCATAATATACGATATATATGATCTAAGGACTAAGGTTGACGTATTGTCAACATTGTCGCATTTTCCAGGGTACAAAAATAACCCAATAGGCAATAACATAGAACAATATAGAAGCGACACTCGATCAGCTGATGGGTGAAGTGTTTACCTATGATCTGAAGTCCGAACATTCAAACTGTTTCCGTTTATCAACATGATGTTATACCCGTATTGAAAAACCGTTTCCGCTTAATAGGCAGGGTATTCTGCGCGGGGTCGGGTTGTTTCCAGCATAGAAAAATTGTTTCCACTGTTTACTGTAACGTATGCCACGCCCCTCTAGAGACCATTTTCAAGGCCACAATCGCCCGATCCGACCAATTCACGGAGTGTCGTACCCCTGGCAATAATCAAGATGGATTGTTATTAATCGACCTTGCATATAGATATAATAATATTTCTTAAATTATGTTTACAGGAACGAATTATTATACATTTTTTTTTCAAACCAGTCATAGGTAGCAGTGTAGCACATTTTTTATGAACATAATATTACATAATGATTATTTCGTTTCTATGAAATACTTGTGTGTAAAAAACTAAAACCTAACAATTAGTTTATGGTTTCGATTTTGGTGAACAAATGTTTTTGCTCCTATGTATAGTTTTTTTCTTTACCCAGTTAGGTACGCCAGTTATGTTGATATACGATATACCTAAACTATTTTTTCACTGTCTGGTATTTTAATTAGTATTATCATTGATTTTAAATACCTAGATATTAGCGTTTAAATTTAATGGTATAATAATTAAAGCGGGTCAATCGTTACCGAAGTTTGTGTACCAAAGTTTGTCTACCAGATGGCGAACAATATACGTTCTCCATACGCATAACAAAAATATTTATATTGGTAATACTTTTGTTCCCAGAATTTCAGCAGTATAACTATTGATGACAATTCATCGTAATATACTAATATATTATATAATTAAACGTAGATGATAATTAATCGTAATATTTATAATTAAACGTAGATGATAATTTTAATTATTTTATAAAACAAATTAGAAAAATGGTATGGACTATTACTATTTACTCCTCAGAAATTGTTTGAAGTTTTTAAAAATGGCATAATTGTCAATTTTCAAGCGAAATGAAATGAAACGAAAAAGGAAAAGTTTGTAAGAAAATAAATGTTGGACAAAAAAGTTTGAACGAATTAGAGGAAACTATATAAATTGTTTATTTTTTGGGTAATTATGAAGATTAATTTATTGCTAAACTGTAGGTTTTATGACCAAAGATATAAAAATGAAACTTATTAAATGGGAAATATTGTGTTAAACAATAAGCACAAATGGGCACTTAAGAAAATCTGAAAAAATTTGTAAAATATATTGATTTAAAATTAATGTAAAATGATTGAAATGACCTACCTAACTAATATCTGCGTAAACCTATATTCGTTTTCATGGAATCGAAAATCTGAATATTTAACAAAAATCGTAAGTATATCTTATAGTGTTAAATAGTTCAAAACGAAGCAGTAGAATCAGTGCCACAACAACCACAGGGGCAGCAGGGGCAATGCCCCTGTAGAGGGCCGCTAATCGTTGGCTCAAGGGGCCCCGCATCTATTTTAAATTTTTTAAATAATTGCATTGTAATCTAATGTTTAAATCAAATAAAATAAAAATTAATAAATGATAAAAAAGTAAAAATAAGTAATTTTTTAGTATTAAAAACCGTTAATTTTAAAATGGAACAAATTAAGATAGAAAAACAATGAAAGTTTATAGTTTAAACTTATGAAGTAGGTACTAATTATAATTATATAAATAATTGAATTATTTACATTTCTCTAAAATACGTGCTTATTGGACTTAATTCTACACAAATAAGATAATACAAAATACGAATATATAGTATAGATCCCAATAATTAGCTATATAATAGATATACTTTTGACCATACATAGATATCGACACAAAGTGGGGCATGGACTTGGTGGCATAACTCTCTCTCCCTCAAAACATTAGTGACCAATTTTTTGGGGACTGGGCTTACAGCAACCAGGGCGGCAGGACCTAAGATCACCAAGTCTCAAATGCTATTTGCATCTACGCATCGTTACGTTTTGTGATAATATGTATCATGTGTATATGCGATGTCGGGAAATTAGATTGGTTATTTTTGATTAATTTTCAGTGCCTTGCAATTTATAAATTATCTATAAAGCCACTCAAATTGTAATAGTAACTGTATACATAGTACATGTGCCACTGGCCACTGCGTATAATCGAATAGTTAAAAAATATCGATTAAGAGAAATGCAAGAGTTATCGATGGGAATATGGGATGACGATAATATTGCAAACATCGTGATTATAGATGATGATGAATCCTGTTGGCAGGTATATATATTAAACGCTGCTGCAGCACGATTCCAATGTTTCGATTAGGTATAGATAGCTATAACTATTATAAGGTACCTATTATCTATAACACGACCTACCTACATATATTATATACCATATGACTAGGTACTTAACTTAACTACCTACTGAGCCTGCACTCGCAAAACGCTTCCGGTCAAACTCATTATAATAATGATAATAATAATATATTTTGTAGGTATAACGAGTGTAGGTACCTTACACGAGTCTGTGTGTATGTATAAAATGTATATTGCACGCTTAATTCAATAATACGGCTAACGAAAATGAAAAAACCGTGACATTACTTTTGTGCGATTGTCAGTTAGTATTTAGTACAAACTAAAGCTCAAGCGCGTGTACTGATTGACCTATTTCGGAATATATACAGGTTTATATTCATTATTATTATTATTATTGTCATAATTTTTTTACTATAGAACTAAAGCTCGAAAGCGTCGGCAGTGGCCAGTGAGTGTAAATCTTCACGAGGTTTAACGGGAGGGTGGCATTTCAGAAAATACAGATAATATCGCAAACCCAGAAGAAGAACGACACAACTCAAAATTTGAACAATTTGAGTTGAGTGCATATTCTAAAGATTTACTGATTTTACTGATCGAAATGCTAAAACGACTTAAGTCAAATTCGTATTAGTATTTGTTTGAGACATAGTTACGACGCAGGCGCGTAGCCAGGATTTTCTCATGGGGGGGGGTTTGCCAAAATTTGTTGGTAAACTTACCTATATTTATATAAATCCCTAAAAGGTTAGCATTTCTCCATGTATGATGTAGCAGACATTTTTTCACACGAATGTATAAAATATAAATAACTTTTGACATTATGGGTACCTACTATGTTTACTAATTTAAGGATTTATAATTTATACTATATACCTTTTAACTAATTAAAGTATAAAGTATGTTAGGTTAGTATGTAAATGATAGCTGAAAAAATAATTTACAAAATACAGACTTAGTTACTAAAGCATATTTTTATTGAGTATATTATTAAGTAGGTACTAGTTTATAATATTCAATTAATTAAAAATTAAATAACATAGTCTAATTTC